GGTGCAGGACCTTGCACTTGGCACATAATGCCATCAGTCTTATTTCTCAGGAGATGAAGTGCATACTACTCTCACCCCATTTCAGCTGAACACAAACCCAGTTTCATAGTCAATTAGAGTTTTATGCAGATGAAACAAACTAGCAAATCAAAGACAAAAAAAAAAAGGCCTTCCCAGAGATAACATTTTGAACATCCCCTTCTGCCACACCAAATCACTCAACATACTGCCAGATCCATCAGAGAGATTCAAATCCTACAACTAGAACCTATGTGGATGAGGGTCTTGTAAAGCTATGCCAAAACAAACCAGGAAACACCGTTTGAAAAACATACTTTTACTTTTCCGCATCTGGGCTCTAATTTACTCTAGGACAATGAGATTTTTACTTACTATCTATAAGACTGAAAAGGTCAAAGCAAAAACTTAGTAACCTGCAAGCAGCTATTACTGTTTACATCACTCTGTGTAACAGGCTCGTAATTGGTACTTGACAGTACACATGACCTCTTTTACTAGGAGAAAAAGATGACAGCAGGCAGAGTAGCAGTTACTAGGAGCTGAAAAACACCTGCAGAATGTCTCAGGAGGGATGCAGGATTAAAATAAAAAACCAAAATCAAGTACTTCCCATTATCTCAGAACACCTATAATTACTAACAGGAAGTACCACACTGCAGTAAGAGTAGGATGAGATGAAACAGCTTTCTTGACCAGTTCACTGTAAGAGCAAAGGGTTTCTCAGGGGTGGACAGGCAACGCATGTCAAGCCAGAGGCAAGCCAGTGGCAGTTAGGGCTGAGCTCTCACAGAAGTGACAGCGTTGGCCACACAAGTGCAGCAAGTGAAAGCCCATCAAAGGGCACTTGGAGAGACTATTCAATTTTGCCTAAATTAACAACCAAGACAATTTTGTATCGCTAACATCTAGCACGTGCATAGGGTTGCTACATGTCTCCTTACACACCTGATAGACCCGATACGGTCTTCCTTTCTGTAACGGAGTAATTGCTGTTGGGTAAGAGCCACTACAAGCAGGTGAAAGATCCATTGTATCCAAGGAAGCCATGCTACATGGCTCAGATATGTTGGATATGTTAATTGGACTATTATAACTTCGAAAAGCAACAGCATTTTTTCTGAAGACATTCAGCACTTCCATCATCTTTTCTGAAGGAGAAAACCCTGTGTCAGGATAAGTTTCTTTCATGCGTTTTTGGTCATTATCCTTTTCATGATGTAATGGCTTGCAGTCCTGGACAGCGTCCGCTTCCTCTACATTTTGTGAGGCATCTTGGGACTCTGGTGATGGTAGAGGGCATCCTGATGTTTTTGGTTCCTCAAAGGAGAGGTCTTTAACACTTTTGTCCAGATCTAAAAGCTGCTTTTCTAAACGGGTTTCTGTAACAGACATTTCAGGAAGTGATAATTCAGAATCAACACTGAGGATTCCTAAAGTTTTTTCATCATCAGGGCCTAAAAAACTTGAGTTCATATATTCCTTTTTGTCATCCTTTTCATAGCCTGCATCCAGATCACACAGGAGATTTTTGGCTATAATTGGAGTAAGTGAGTGTTCTACTGTTTGCTGGTTACCAATAAAACTCTTGACCTCTTCTTTGCTTTTGCAGGTGTCACGTAGGCACCCATCATCAGACAGCATCAAGGACTGAATTTCTGTTGTCAGACCTGTCCTTTTGTTTGCTGGGAATTCTAAGATCTGACAGCCTCGTCTGTATTCTGCGTTGCTTTTTTTAAGGTAGTTAAGTTCCTGACAAGGACTCGTGTCAACAAATTCAAAGCTTCTTTTTACACCCGGCTTTTCAAAAACATAGTCGTCTTTGATAGGCTCATTCTGCCTTGAACGTGACCGCTGTTGATTGGAAGTTTCTGCTGTTTCAATAGTCACCTCTCTCTTATTTACAAAGGGTTTTTCTTCCCAAACCTTATTTTCAGAAAGACATTTTCTGACTGCGCCTTTCACATCCAGCGTGGTGACAGGAGTATCTGTTATATCAGAACGCTCACTTCCCAGCTTCTGCCTACTGCCAGAATCATTGCTGCTGATGGGAGAAATGGCAGACTCCAGTTCTTTTTTCTTCAAAACTTTAATGTCTTTGCTATGCAGTAATTCCACATTTGAATGGAGAGCTGACCCATTAGTACTTGTTCTCCCTGTTGCAGAACCCAGTTGATCTTCACTTTGCTGCAAATGAGCACAGTAAGTTTTGAGTATCAAGAAAAACAAGATTGCAGTCTTAGAGAAACACATCCTTTAAAATACCCTATTTTCACTTCCATAAAGACCTGTAAATTTGCAAGCAGTACTTATTTGTTATAGCCACTAGTAGTGACAAACATGACTTAATAGATTCACAAAAATTCAAAACTAGATTAGGGATAATTTGATAATTTGACTTTTTTAAAGGACATAAAATAAGCTGGCTAGAATAGAACAGAAAACACCATATTTTAAAATGCCTAAGGATGCAGAAATATAGCAATTGAAGCTACAGAAGTTCTCAGTTTCCAAGAAACCCCAAACCAAAGAACCCCATCATACTACCCTCTGGCACATTATACTTCAGAGATGACAACAGGAACATCTGCTGTTACTACTATTTTGGTAACGCAATACTAAAAACAAGGCTTTGGGAAATGGACAGATGAAGCTAAGAATTATAAATTGTTTTGAACATAAGGTTTTGTGTGCAATCTAACAGGAAACGTGGCAAGGGACTAAACAGCACAGCAGCATTTTCTAGGTCTGTATTCGTACAGAATTTCATTAACAGTTTAAAATAGGAGAAAGTATTTCCTATCAGCTATAACTACTGGTGTTCAGTTAGTCGATACAAAACACTTTAGTAAAACAAACCTTAACCTTTTCCAGTTGTTAATAGCTAGCAGAAAATTGAGGTGTATTTTGTCCATTATTTTTCCCAAGTCCTGCCTTTTAAAGAAATCCTTTTGTCTGCATGCTGAGCTAATAAAACTACAGGGACAAGGTCAGCTTCCAAAGAACCAGTGCTCCCAGTAATGCCCACCTTGTGAACAGGGCTAAACCCGTGCCATCCAGTAGAATCCTTCCCCTTCACTCCTTTGCTGCAGGCTAAACAGAATTTGCTTTTCCTGTTACATTGCACAGATTATTTGTTTGAAGAAAAGAAACAATACTAGTTTGATCCAAGACTCCTACTGGGCAAGGATTACAACCCCTGCTCCTTCTGTAGGGAGGCTTCTCTGCACTTGAAATAATGGGGGAAGCAAGTAGAGAACTGCAAGAGTGCATATACAAATACGAGCCAATTTTAAATTATAGTGGGAAGATGAAACAGTCCTGACCTCTACATCTTTCTCACACCTGGGGCTGCTGCAGCATTCTGATTCCATAGTGGACAGGTATGTGTGTGACTGACTACTGGCACTGGAGGTACCAAACCTTTTTCTTGACTGAAGTAGAGTAGGAGTTAAACTTCTCACTGGCATCACAGGAGTTAATTGAGAAGTATCAAGACCTTAAGAGAAAAAACAATCAAGAAATCCAAACACAAATGTTGATAGAAATAAGCAACCTATATTAATCAGTTTCACACTGTGTCAAGCTTTCACATCAAAGGAAGTTATCAGACTCTTTTAGGTTGGAAAAGACCATAAAGATCAAGTCCAACCATTAACCCAGCACTGCAAAATCCACCAACAAACTGTGTCCCCAAGCAGCACATCTACACATCTTCTAAATCCCTCCAGGGATGGTGACTCAACCACTTCCCTGGGCAGCCTGTTCCAGTGCCTGACAACCCTTTCAGTTAAGAAGTTTTTCCTAATACCCAATCTAAACCTCTCCTGGCACAACTTCAGGCCATTTCCTCTCAGCCAATCACTTGTAATAAGAGACCAACACCCACCTGACAATATTTATGTAAAATCTTAAAGGGTCATCTTGAATTCAGTGGTTGTACATTTGGAAAAAAAAAATTACCTAAGTGGTCTACACCTGAGTAGGTGAAAGAATGTCAGTCCTTAAGTACTGGTGGAATGGTAGACAGCAAGACACTGATGGAAGCACACTTTATCAAGTGGGTCCAAGCTACTCATACAAAATTAAAACAACCTTACAGAATATTACTCAAGTACAAGTCTCTGTATACTCACATGTTTTGAATAATGTATTTGAAAGAGGGCTATTTTCCTTTGGGACCATAGGTAAGGGAGAGACCACTCCATGCAGGCTGTCAGACGATTGACTTGAGTCACGCCCTGGCACGTTCATTCCGACAGGACTATACTATCAAGCAGGAAGTAACACAGTTAAAAGTTAATAGAACCCAAACAAGACAATTAGGATTGAGAGTAGAACTTCACATACTGCTTGTTACATTTGCATTGGAGCTCAGCCATACCCATTTACCAATTTTTTTGAAGCACAACTGATAGTCAACAACTTGAAATATAGCCTAAGGTAATCACTTCAGAACTTCAAGGTACTGGAAACAGATAAATCATTCTACCAGCTGGCAGAAGTGCAAGAATAGCCTTATCACTCCTTTTATTACATTTAAGATACCTAAGTAAGTAAACTAAAATAATCAAGTACTGAAAGACTTGAAGACTCTGAAAATTACTTACAAAACCCAGAGAACTGATGAGAGACAGCAACTGCCCTGGAGTACGTGAGTAGTCTTGTTTTGGCTTTGCCATCGATGGTGTAGTAAGGATATCTATCATATTTATCTCTACAAACAGAAAATATTTGAAGCAGATCAGGTTTTCCTTTTGCTGTTAAATAAGCAAGATTATAGGCATTTTAGGCTTTCTCAAGAGGGGAAAAATTAAGTGACATACTGAACAAATATACAAAAAAGCCACCAAACCCAAGTGAAGACATGCCCATACATTCTTACTGAATACAAGTTGTTTCTTCATGTACCATTCATCAGAAAATTACAGTTTATAGATACAGAAATTGCTAAAGTCCAATTTCTTTTCCAACATACTATGTTGGAAGTGTTATTTTTTTTATAACGATACCAGCTTTGGTTTTTAGGTAGCAATTCCAGCCTGTGGGCTAAAATGGTAGATTTGATTCAAAGTCTGCCTTCTCTCCCAAAGACATCTCAAAAAAAAAAAGCGCTACACAAAAAACTTATTCATAGGTGAAAAATTTAGCCTTAGATGCCATCTTTTGCTCACTAGAGCCAAGTAGGCTTATAGCTTACATATTGTGTTCAACTAGACATAGCATGTCCCATCAGAACTTCTCAGTTAAAGCATTATATAATAGAAAATACAGTATACTTAGTATTTACTCTATGCTCTTAAACCCATGAATCAGAAACTCCATAGACAACTCTGAATTTGTACATTCCTTTAACTATATGAAAAGTATGTACCCACCAGCAGCTGTCTCAAGAAAATAAAGTGGTGCTGTGCAGCATGAGTTTGGCTGATATGGCTAAGGGGTTGGAGGTGCAAACTAGTTCAGGAAGTTTAGACCTGCAGTCATTTGATTATCCAGCTATATTTTCTGCTACGTGAAAACAATACACTCATATGCTAAAGCACCGATTTAGAATTTCCTGTTAGGGACTCACAACCTCCCCCATTCCTCACATTAATGTCTGGAAGGCCCCGGTTCAGGTTGGAAATTAATATCCACAAGTACAGAGGAATGTAAGCTGAAGGACAGAAATAGCCATGGGTACACCAAGAAAAAGCTAGAAGTATTCATTCACCCTTTGAACACTTAGCGGACTTCACAGAAAAGCTGAAAATCCATACCCCTCAAGAGAAGTTACATACACCTTTGTCCCAAAGAATAAATACTTCTGCTTCTGAAAAGCAATGCATACAGCAGAGCTTTTACTAGCATGTACCTTACTGGTACTTACCTACTACAAAACAGATATTATACTGCAACATTTGGGGTTATTTAATTGAAAGCTGACGTCTCCAGGGATGTAAAGCACCCAAGAATATAGGAATGTGACACAAAATTACATTTTAATACAACTAAAAGGATACAGACTACTCTTACCTCTGTTCAGAGTAACTCTGGAAAGCCCAAAGTCTGTCAGCTTTATATGGCCCTGATTAGAAATTAGCATATTGTCTGGCTTCAGATCCCTGCAGATATGAATATAGCTGAAGTCAGCAAAAAGACAATTGGGCAATATTAAGAGAGTTACCTGACCAGAAACATGCAATACAAACCATTGATTATAGCCATTTCTCAGTAACACCTCTTAGCCAGCAGAAGATTCCAATTGGAGGAATACACCAAAACAATTAAACACAGCTACACTACATATTGTACAAACATCTCCAGCCCTGTGAGCCCACCATGCATGTCACAAGAGCTGCACACTTTGTGTTTCAGCAGATTTAACAAGTGTTCTTGATGAATACTACCATCACATTTACTAACGTGTAGCTCATACACGACAAGGAAACCCCCAGTACAAGTTCTCGTGCGTTCTCTGTGGCACTACTCAATGCAGCAAAGAACTCTCACTACAGGGGACTGTTAGGGTAGTCAATGTCTCTTTGTCCTACAGCTACGCGCTTGCAGCATCCAGAGGGTTCCTGAACTAAGTAATTTAAAAGCCACAGGGAGAGGGTATCTAGCAGCTGTGCTGCCTGCTAACACACCACTGGTCTGGGGGAGAGCACACAGGCAGGAGAAAGCAGTATATATTTGCCTGCTTAACATACATGGACAGATTTGATTTCGGTGTTTCATGACATTGCTGCAGTGCACACATCCAGAAAGAGCTTCCAGAATCTCTAGCAAAAGTTGTTACTATGACATGCTGATCAGTCATGTGTTTGAGTGAAAAATTAAACACCCCAACTACCAAATACTTATTGGTAAGAAATAAAAAAGGTTTTACCTGTGGATTATCCCATGCCTGTGAAGATAGTCAAGGGCCAACGCTGCTTCGGAAATATATTTAACAGCCATTTCTTCATCAAAATATCCATAAATATGGAGAAGAGATTTGACATCTCCACCAATGAGGTACTCCATCACCTGCCAAATTCAAGAGTTTTAAATTTAATATTTTAAAAAGACATTTCAAATTTGCAAGTAAAATATAAAATAGCTTTTGCCCCTAGGAAAGTATCATTTCAAAGAGCAGAACCCGACAGAAGCTTCCTTATGTGAATGTCATTTCCCACACAGTACTTTTCACATAGATAAAGCAACTAAAGCTTCAGATGACAGCAGACATGAGACATTTTTATTTATTTGCCTAGCCTACTTTCTCTAGTCAGCTCTCAAGTAACGACTATAGCCAGCTTCTAAATTAACTTCTGAAAGATTTCTGTATTATAGAAAACAAATTGCAAAGCACTTCTGTGAAATTCAAGGCCTGAAGCCAAAGATCACTGATATTTTGATTAGTATAAAACAGGTATCTCAATGATTTTTTTTTTTGCAATGATTATATGCAATATTAATTCAAACCCGAGCCTTATGAAGTAAGTGCAAATTTCCAGAAATGCATACAGTGAGAGCTACTGTGCATGTAAGACACGAAAAAGTGCGTTTAAAAATTACATCAGAAAAGTAAACCCACTTATGATGGCCCATGTCGCATTCAAGAAAAAAGAAAAAGTCAACAGGGTTTCAGAAAATTATTCTTCAATGACAAGAATGAAGTTATGGGATTTTGGTCAAGTAATCTCACCAGTACTTAGACTCCAATATACAAAACTAATCATATATATCTCTAGCCTCTCCTTTACAAATCCTGCACCCTGAGCCCCTCTACTCCCAGCAGCAGTTAACAGAGGAAAAGAAGCCTTAATTTACACTTAGAAGGCATTGTAGGAGTGCCTAACAACCTTGCCTCAGAATTTAATCAAGCTGTTCACTTTGTGTGCTTACAGCAAACCAGACTAGTTACTCTAGAACCTTTGTAGACAGCCTTAATCCATACCACCTTTATGTGAAGTCAGCATAGAAAACCAGTTCAAGTCCTGCTGTACTCCACGTAGACTAGCACTTTGTTTTGCCATTCAGTTATCATCATCTAGGCCAACCACCACGATGAATTTTGAGCACAGGTAAGAAGTAAAACAGATTTCCTTTTAAGTGAGCCACAGAGTATCTTTCAGTCAGTTGGATTCTGCTTGAACAGAATAGTTTATTGTTTTGGTTTCTTTAAGATTTCTACATATTCCTAAAGCAGATTAGCTGTTAGAAAAGACTTTCCTGTAAAAAAGGGAACACAGATAGAAAGACCTCAAAGGTACCAGGGCAAGAGCTCAACCATTCTGAGAAAGAATAAAGTAAGAGGGACTAAGGAATACCCACTCACTACCATAAAAACACATTTTCAGACATGAATATAGTTCCATGCTCTATTTTCAACATTACCATAAAACACCAAAGACATTGAGTTACTCACTAAATAGACGTTATTAGCTGACTGAAGTGAGTAGTATAAGTGCACGATGAAAGGACTTTTGCTGAGAGCCAGTGCATCCCTCTCTGCCTGGACCTGGTGAACCATGTTTTTGTTGATCATGTCTGCTTTTTTCATCACCTGAAAAACAAAATAGAGTCAAGTGGATAAACATTTTTTTCTTTGCTCAACCAATAGTTCTTTAGTCAATTCATCTTTATAACTCAAACTTGTTATAGCTCTGGTCTTTATGTATACATGTACTTCATATACAGACAGAATTTTAAACCAGAAGTTATAAGAGAATGTTTTTCATTGCTCTCTTAATTCAGTCCTGAACGGAAATCGCACCACCAACATTTACAGCAATTGCACACAATGGAAAGTGAGTGTTTAGGCTCTATCCGAAATTAAGCTGCTCTAAGTTAATCCTCTTATCAACAGTACACAACCAGGAAAGTGTTTAATGCTCAGATATCCAATTGCTGATCAAGCCTTTCCCTCTCTTCAGAGGCAGAAATATATGGCCTGAGGCTTGAAAAATAGTGAGTCACCCCCCCCATCTTGGCATCAGCAAGTGCAAGACCATAACTATTCCAGCCTCTAATTCTTAAAGTGAAGCAAAAATTCACTTGCTTTCTCTGCAAAATTTACAATCAAGACACACAACAACTATTTGCTTCCTTGGGAAGAAATCTCAAAGGCATGTAACTCACAGTGAAGAATTAATAAGTTTAACTCTGATTTAGGCTCTAATTCCTGTATTAAATTACTCCATTATATATTAATGCCCACTTAATATTAATCTGGAAGAGAAGATTCACAGTGGCACAGCTGATAGGTATTTAGGCATGCATTGCACATACGCTGGAAGTTTGCCCACCTTCAACATCCTTGGTCCAGATACATATGGTGATATTAAAGCAAGCTCAATTTATCTGTTCTCAGTGCAACACAACTATAAGAGACTTGAGTCTACAACTACCACCACCATTCAATAACAGAATTTGATAACATATAAAAATAGCAAGACATAAGATGTGCCATTTGATACCTTCTATGTACGTGTTAACCTTAACTGTAACAATATTTAGCATATGTTAAATTCAGTAGCTTGACTGTAACAGTATTTAGCAGATGTTAAATTCAGTAGCTTGAATAATCCGTAAATCCCACTGCAACAGGCATAAAGGATTTACACAACAGCTTTTAGGTCACAGTGTTTTCAATAAACTTGTGTAAAACACTAAAGTAACTCACAATCAAACCACTCTATATGCAGCACCTAAACCACAGAAAATTAGTTTCCACAGCTACCATAGCTATTATCAAAGTGGATTTAAAAAAAAAATAACCCAAGACGTGGACAGAATACATAGAATTGCACTTTATTGAGTGTTTACATTAACTGTGCAAATATTTAGCATGTGTTAAATGCTGTAGCTGTGAAGAATCCATAAACCTCACCGCAAAAGTGATAAAGGATTTACACAAAAGCTTCCACCTCAAAGTGCTTATAACAACATCATGTAAATAGACATATATGGCTCTGAACAGCAATGTCTATCTTACATGACTCTTTCCACCTTTCCTTTTATTTGTGTACTGTGCAAGCTGGTTGTAATCCTTTTAATTGCAAAGTCAAGCTCACACAAACCATTAGTAACGATTTTACTACTGACAAGCTCTTTGTATATCAACATAGACAATGCAACGGGGCTTTTTTTTTTTTAATGTGTACCAACAAAAAAAAATTCTTTTTATAATTTGCTATCATTACAGATTTCAGAAGCACTTTTCATTCATGAACAACTGTGAGAACACCCTCCCAGTGGCACCACAGCTGAATGTATTCCATTATAACAAGCATTTGGAGGCAAGAAGCAAATAGGATAGCTTCCTCGACATTTAAGGTACTTCTAAAAGCAGTTGTCATTACCAGCTGCCTCCTAACCAAAGGCTGCAGGCGAACAGGGGCGTGAGGAGAAAACCAAGCACAGCCATGCGGAAAACACGCCTCCCAGGCTCTCCCTGCCAGAAGGGCGGCAGCGCCCCCAGCGCGTAACGCCGGGGGAATCACGTCAGGCAACCCACGGGCCCGCCGGGCCAAACCTCTGCGGGGCGCCTCCCTTTCCCTCGGGACGTCCCGT